TCTGCTTAGCTTTGCAGTGTAGTGCTCTAACCAGCTGGGCCACCAGGGAGGGCCTCTGCTACCTATGTTTTGAGGTAGCAAAACTTCCTTTTTGATACTTAGCATCCCAAAATGCCCTCTCAGACAACATTGTAAATAGCCATTTAGCTCTGCTTAGTGCAAGTAATGTTTATGCCTGACAAAGAATACTCAGTATATTAGTATCAGGTACTCTACAAAACCAAAACTTCAATCCTGTGAGGTAAAGATTCAGATGTAGCAGTGATAATATTTAGGTTCGTTCATGGAATATAAAACGATTATTATACAAGGAAGAAGTACAAGGGGGGCAAATTTAAGGATGTCAAGTTTGGGATGGAAATAAAACTTGGAAGTCAATTTTTAGTCATCAAAACCTATGAGATGCTTTTACATAAAACTATGAAGTTAGTTATAGTGCTAAATATTCCTGTGAGTTCAATTCATACTTTTTTCTCCCCAAAGAGAAAAGAACATTTTGCTGGCTTCCTTTTTATGGATCATTCCCCTAACTTGGACTCAAATTATGTGAAGTAGATATTAGCTGGTATACTGTCATTTCTGCTCAAAAAGACTAATGTGAGTGAGTATCACCCAATATAAATGACACCTCAACACAACATTCATACTTGTTTGTTATTTCAAAGGAACCTGTACATTTCTGCTTCAAACTCTGAGACAGAGCCAGTCAAATAAAATAGGTTTTGATTTGAGAGTCTACTTTTGAATGAGTGTCTACTTTGGTTTTGTTTTGTCCCAACTTCTGTGACCAGCCGCAAGAAAGGAAGGCTGGAGGCAGAAAGGCTGAGCAAGCGGAGTTTATTGCTCCAGGACAGCAGCTGAGACAGAGCCCCTAGAGTGGGGTCCGCAGCTACAGCCAACCCAGTAAGGGAGCAGGGTCTCCTATATAGGTCCTAAGCTCAGATTTCCAAGGGGTGACTCATCGCTGTGTCCTTGATGTGAGGCCCAGTTCGTTATCACCTTCATCTAGTCCCATCCCTACGCAAGGACCCGTCAATTAGATGCAAGGCCCAATTTATTACCACCTTATCACCTTTGGATGCAAGGCCTGATTTATTACTGCCCTTATCCAGTCCCTCAGTAAATCTCCGCATTTGGTCACTCCCAACAGGTTTGCTGCAGAAAATTTATGGATTATATTCTAAATTATAATTGGGCATTCTACCAAGCAAAACTCTCTTATTTACACTAAAGGAACTTAAATGATAAGTCCTATTCTCTTTTTTTCACCAGTACTTCTGATTCTTATGTCCTTTTTATAATGAGGGGCGGGGAGTAGACCTGTACATAGAAATGTTTCTCTATAATGTCAAATAACGAAGATAGGAATGTGTTAAGTTAGCAGAATTATGTTGAGTTGATGCCTGGGTTTTGGATTTTTGTTTTGGATGCTCATATTTTAATCCCTTTTTCTTTCTAAATCTCTTAAAAAGATGCATGCAGTTTTCAATATAATTTTGACACTAAGGAAGAAAGTTTTTAATACAAAATAATGTTATCAAAGCCGTGAGGAGACAGCTCTGGGTGATTAAAAAATAAATGACAAGTTGTGAGAAATCATAATTGGAAACTAACCTCAGAGTTTAAACACATGCAGTGTGTGTTAGCTGTTTCAGTGAATCTTCAAGCACAGCGCTGATGTAACTGAGTGTGCAGGTAAATATAAGCAAAGTATTCTGTGATGAATTAACCTTAATTGTCTTTTGACACTTAACTCAGAGAAAAACTTGGAAAAGTCATGCAGTGTAGCATTGTAATTTAATGTACTCTCTTAGAACCTGGATTGTATCCTTTGAACTGAGATGTTACAGTTTCTATATTCTGGTGGAAATTTTAGAAAACTTCAAGTTGAAAGTATTTTTGTTATTGTACTTTCAGGGTGGGTGAAAACTTCTGAGCAAGTCCCCTTCCCTTTCAAAAGGCAGCGTAGTTTCATGGGGTTATTTTGCAGACCCTCGGTTTGGTAGGGATCCTAGAGATCCTAAAATGATCTCTGCAGAGATGAGAATGGACATCTCAGTACAAGCCAACTTAGTTCACAGAAACCCCCCCCCCCTCTTTCTTTCTTTTCAAAAAGAAAGGCTACCTCATTCATCCCAGATTTCAGTGTGGTGTGAAACCTGCCCCCAGGGTATAAAATCTATGGGGAAAAATCCAATAAAGAAAATTCAGAATGCACAGCCCCAGGGAGGAATTTTGAAGGCTACAGGACCAGGTTTTACCCAGGGGTGGGAATGCCCTTTTGCTTGTTCTTTGTTAGTCTCAGGATTTGAAAAAGACTGGGTTGTAACAAATCAGTTGTAGAAGGATAAACATCTCCAGTAAGACAGCATTCATCTGGTTACAGCAAAGCATCTTGTGAATTAATGTTCATTTGTAGCGATTTTGTTTAGCGTTTCCGTCTTTAGTATGTACTATGTAAGTAGAATAACTCAACAATCCAACAGTCTTATACATTTTCTTCCTCTTAAAAAGTACATTAAAGGGGCCTCCCTCCTGGCACAGCACTGAGAAGCCAAAGCCACTTCTGCATGAGTTCGATCCCCACCCCGGAGGTGACCCACATGCTGGCACCACAGACCTCTCCTGGCCCACCTGCTGCTCCCCTCAGCAGTGTACTTCATCCATCTCCCTGTTCTGCTCCCCACTCTGTCTCTGGTGAATCCTCTCACCACCCCTGCACCTCTGGACTGTACCCCAGTTCTTTGCATAAATAAATAAATCTTTAGAAAAAAGAAAAACATTTTAGGTACCTGGAATGTAAATGTCTGCGATTTAGTGGGCCTGTTGACCTACATGTCATGTCCTATTTTCATTTATATCCTTTAGATACTGGGATTTGAGCTGGATTTTGGCAATGGCACCGGCAGCTGGAGGTTCATTTGAGTACATCCCCCCGGATGGCGGCTGGGGGTGGGCCGTGCTAGTTGGAGCTTTCATTTCCATTGGCTTCTCTTGTGCGTTTGGCAAATCTGTTTCTGTATTTTACAAAGAAATTGAAGACCTATTCAACGCCAGCACCAGCGACGTGTCGTGGATATCCTCCATCATGTTTGCAGTCATGTATGCTGGGGGTAAGTGCCTGGCCGGTCACTCGTTCACTTTCCATCAGCCCACCACAGCGCTGAATCAACTGCTCTGTTCTCCAGGCCTTTATCAGTAAGATATTGCAAAGGTCAGTTCCGAGGCCATTTTATTAGATTCATACTTTTCATCGCTTTTAACAATAGAAGCTACAAAGCAACTGTGTACTCTACTAGCTCCATTACAAAACAGGTGTCTTTATAAAAGATAATAACTTTCTTTGGAAAGGTGTCTTTAGTTGCACAAAGACAATTGATGTTTGCATTTTAATCATATATCCTGTAACCTTGCTAACCTATCGTTTTATTTCCAATAGTGTATTGCTAGCTTTTTTTCTAAAATGTTTAGATCGCGAACCTATCTTCTGTAAAAACTGGCAGTTTGATTTCTTCCTTCCCTTGTATCCTCCCCCCCCCCATCTTACTGAGCAGGCTTAAGCTTGGACTAGCTTGTGTAGTGTTGAAGAAAAGTGGATATGGTATGGGTGCTTGTGCTTTGTGATTTTGTCACTGTTTAGCTAGTTTGTAAATGTTCTCTGACGTGTGATGGGATTTGCACAGAAATCATTATATCCGTGTGTTTACGCCAGATAACCATACATGTATGTTGCTAATATCCTAGATCCATGAAGCTTCCTTACAGCCAGTGTACTTGCAACCTATTCTACCTAAAAAGCGATTAAGGTTTTTCATACCTTAAAGCCATCCAGTGTATGCTAGGTCTATAGTAATGGTACGATCCCCACGGTATTTTTCCCTTTGGAAAATAAAGATAGAAAGTGTCTTCTGCTGCCTCTGTTGTGCCTGTTCATTTTGCAGGATGGGGATTAATGCATTGGCAGACTTTCATGTCACTAAGGCCTTGTAGCTGTGCCTCAGGATACGGGTGTGAGGGCTGAGCATCGCTGCGTCACCTGTGGGGGCTTCTCTCCTAGGTCCCATCAGCAGCGTCCTGGTGAACAAATACGGCAGTCGCCCGATCATGATGGCTGGCGGCTGCTTGTCAGGCTGTGGCTTGGTTGCAGCGTCTTTCTGTAACACCGTGCAGGGACTTTACGTGTGCATTGGACTCATTGGAGGTGAGTTGTGCAGACGTATTTTCAAGCATTCTTTTTTTTTGGTCTGGACTATTTGTAGCAGTCCTCTGTCAGTTCTTTTGTGAAGTGAGACATCATTGTTAGAAAAAGTATAGGGCCCTCCCTGGTGGCCCAACAGGTTAAAGTGCAGCACTGTGAAGCTATGGGCAGCCACTGCAGCACAAGTTCGATCCCCGGGCAGGGAGCTGACCCACAGGGCACAGTGGACCCCTCCTGTCTCCTCACTGCTCCCCTCAGCAGTGTTTCAGTAGATCCACATGTTCTGCTCCCCACTCTGCCTCTGGTGAGTCCTCGCCTGTACCCCAGTTCTTGTGTGCATAAATCAATAAATCTTTGGGGGGAAAAAGTAGAGAAAGTATGACACCATTATTTTAAAGAGTGACAGATATGTTAATTTAATAGTGCCAAAAAAGCAAGTCTTTAAAGCAAGTTCTGGTGCTTGATAGGAACTATTTTTTTACTTTTTCCTCTCAAACTTTATTGATTTGCCATTCGTTTACCCAACTATATGGTTTGGGGAGTGTGGCTCCCCAACTCTATTTGTGCCCACGTTCACTCATCCTTCACCAAGTCTCTAGGACCACCACACTGTCACTTACCCTCCTCCCTCTCCTTTTTAAGTCCCTCTGCCCCATCCTCTGGAAACCAGTTTATTTTTCAGTTTTTGTAGTTTTGTCAGTTTGTTTTCTTTAGGTATTTCTATTGCACAAATGAGTGGAATATGCAGTAATTGCCCCAACAGCTGAGCATATATTCCATGACATCCTTATCCAGGTATCTGTCAGTGGGTGGCTGTCAGTGGGTGTGTGTGGGTGTCTGTCAGTGGGTGGCTGTCAGTGGGTGTGTGTGGGTGTCTGTCAGTGGGTGTCTGTCAGTGGGTGTGTGTGGGTGGCTGCCGGTGGGCCTTTGGGCTGGATCTGTGCTTTGGCTACTGTGAATAATGCTGCAGTGAGCATAGGAGTGAATACACCTTTTATTAATCTTTAGGAAAATACCCAGAGGTGGTATTTGATATTTTGGATTTTTTTTTTTAACTGGGGTACAGGCCAGAGGTGAGAGATTCACCAGAGACAGTGGGGACCAGAACAGGCAGATGTACTGAGATACACTGCTGAAGGGGAGCAGCGGGGGGACAGGAGAGGTCTGCCGTACCAAGTGGATCAGCTCCCTGGCTGGGGATGGAACTCCTGCTGCAGTGGCTGTGGAGAGCTTCATAGTGCTGTGCTTAACCCCTTTCACCATCAGGGAGGACCCTGCCTACCAGTTTTTTTACTTGATAACTGTTCGCTAATGCTATCACAATGTCTCTCATAATGATGATGTGCTGTACTTTCATTTAGTTTCTCAGGTTCATTAATAATAAATGTTTCTCACATTTACTTCAGTCCCTGCTTCTTTTTTCCTCTCCTTCCCAGGTCTTGGGCTTGCCTTCAACTTGAATCCTGCTCTGACCATGATTGGCAAGTATTTCTACAAAAAACGGCCACTGGCGAATGGACTGGCGATGGCAGGCAGCCCTGTGTTCCTCTCCACCCTGGCCCCCCTCAATCAGGTTCTCTTTAATGTCTTTGGCTGGAGAGGAAGCTTCCTGATCCTTGGGGGCTTGCTGCTAAACTGCTGTGTAGCTGGGTCGTTGATGCGACCGATAGGGCCCCCGGCGACCAGCGCGGGGAGCGAGAAGTTGAAACAGTCCCTCCAGGAAGCTGGAAAGTCGGATGCAAAAAAAGAGTTAGGTGATGCAAAGAAAGAGGCAGGTGATGCAAATACAGAATGTAATGGAAGAATACACAGAGAAGAGAAACAATCAGCTTTTCAAAAAGTTAACAAATTCCTGGACCTATCCCTGTTCACACACAGAGGCTTCCTACTCTACCTCTCTGGGAATGTGATCATGGCCTTGGGGCTGGGCACACCCTTGGTCTTCCTCAACAGTTATGCCAAGAGCCAGCATTTCCCTCATGAGAAGGCCGCCTTCCTTCTTTCCATTCTGGCTTTCGTTGACATGGTAGCCAGACCGGCTATGGGACTTGTGGCCAACACAAGGTGGATAAGACCGCGAGTCCAGTACTTCTTCGCCGCCTCTTGTATTGCAAACGGAGTGTGTCATATGCTGGCACCTTTGTCCACTACCTACCTTCATTTCTGTGTTTATGCTGGATTCCTTGGATTTGCCTTTGGATGGCTCAGCTCGGTATTGTTTGAAACACTGATGGACCTCGTTGGCCCTCAGCGGTTCCCCAGCGCTGTGGGGTTGGTGACCATTGTGGAATGCTGTCCTGTCCTCCTGGGGCCACCGGTGTTAGGTACAGTATGTCTCCTTACCTCTGTTTTTCTATTCTTGTAGAAGATTGAGAAGGTGGCAGAGGTAATGATCAGCAAGCTGCTTGATGTCAGAAGTCTCCGTGATCTGTGCTCTCAATGCTGACCTGGCACACAGTAATTGCTCAGCTGCTCAAAGAATTAAAGGAAAGCTTCAAGTTGAAAGAAGAATGAAAAGCTTTTACAAGTTTAAGATTTTATGGGAATAAAATGTCCTCATCATAAGACTAACATGTTTGTTGTATAAAAGCGCATTATCATTCCACTTGTAAAATACTGTGGGTGAGCTTAATTGTGGCATTTATCTCAGTAACAAAATTTAAATTACAACAGTAGCTATCAGGTAAGGGCCCTGGTAAGCTAAAATAACCACAGCTGCCAGGCCCCATCCTAGTGTTGGGCTGCAGTCACAGCTCACAAGTCTATGAGGTAGGACTGCCACTGCCCCCACGTTACAGATGCAGGAATAGAAGTGCTCGATGCGAAATGACTTGCCCGTCATCATCACACGGCAGCAAGTGACCCTCCAGCTGATGGCTTCTGCACGAGAAAACCACTTACATTTTAACTGTATTATGTGAAATAATGTGGACTTCCTCTAGGTACGACGTGTGCTTTGAGATGGTGCGCGTCCGGTCAGGAAGATACTTAACCAGCGCGCTGACTTTTGAAAACTGCCCACCCTCTCCCCAGTGAGCGTCCAAGTCCTGCTAGTTTTCACCACCTAAACCTCTTTCTTTGTAATCTACCCATTTTCTCCAACACAACTACCACCCGTCCGCAGTCCCCTCTTCTCTCTAGGCAGCTCCTAGTGTCACCTTCTGGCTGGCTCACCTGTACCCACTCTGGCTGCCCCAAGTGCTTTCCCCGTGGTGCCCAAGCTCAGATCCCTCAGGTGGCCGCAGCCTGCCTGCCAGGCCCAGCTCTCCTGCAGGTTCCTACCTCTTGCCCTTTGCTCTCTCTGCCCCAGCCCCGCTCCCTGCCTCCCCCCCCCAGGCAGTGCCTCCTCCCCTGCTTGTCCTGTTCTCTGCATGGACCCCCTTCCCACTTCCCACCCCCTCTCTCCTAGACAACTTCTGTTGTCAGGCTCTTCGCTTGCACTTGCAGAGAAGCCTTCCTGCCCCACTCACTGGAGAAACACCTATTTCCAGCAAGGCCATTCAGCATCTGTATGACACCGTAAATAAAACGATCAGATCATTTTTAGCAGTTCCTCTTTAGACTAATGCCATTTTTAGGCTCTTTGAGCACTGGCTGGACAGCTTTCGCTTGGATCCTTAAACCTTATTTGGGAAAGGGTATACTAGATTACTTCTGCCCACATGACTTGTTTTTGACCCCCTTAGGCCGTCTCAACGATGTGTATGGCGACTACAAGTACACGTACTGGGCGTGTGGCATCATCCTTATCGTCGCGGGCATTTACCTCTTCATCGGCATGGGCATCAATTATCACCTTCTGGCAAGAGAGCAGGAAGCCAAGAAGCAGCAGAAAAAGGAAGGTAAACAAGAGGAACCCAAAGAAGTTGTTAAAACAACAGGATCTACAGAAGAGAAAGGCCCCAGAACAGGAGACCCCAAAGAGGAGAAACTTCCAGATTGAAGTCATGGGAAAACAGACGGGATTTGGCCCAAAGACACCTGCGATATTCGATGCCGCCATGTTCTATGATTCGTGCTTACCATAGACAGTGGACTTTTGTGTAGAGGTCATACCTGGTGTTTGTTGAGGGAGTTTTCATTTCATTCCCTGACAGTACAATCTGTATCCTTTGGGGGCAGGGCATTTGCAAAAGATGAAATAAGGAAATCATTTTTATTTGAAGCCGCATTAGTAAGGTATACGGCGCATATACCCCTTTTATCAGAGTCAAGTCAACTCACTGTAAAACCAGTCAGTTTTAATCACATTTAAAAAGCCAATGACTGAATGGATCATGTCTATAAGTGAGGCCTCTATAAGAGCCCTGAACAGTGGGGTTCAGAGAGCTTCCTTGGGGATACCTGAGAGTGGGGTATACTCAGAGGCCGGAGGCTCCCCTTCACCCCCCCAACTCCCACCTTGCTCCATGCATCCTACCATCTCTCTTCCCTCTGGCTGTTGCTGAGTTGTGTCCTTTGAAATTAATCACTCATAATCGGTGTTTCCTGGCATTCTGTGGTACATTCTAACAAATACTCAGACCTGAGCAAGGAAGTGACGGGAACGCCTAGCTGAGCTGGTTCGAATGAGTCCAGGTGGCCAGCGGGACCTTGTGAACTTTGGCTTGTGAACTTGTTACCGGGCACCCACCTCCGAGATGAAATGGGTGCATGGTGACAGATCCTCACCTGTGCGCTTAAAGGGATGTATAATAACCCTCAACTGCAGGCACACACAGACAAGGTTAATAAAGGGTTCTTTTCTAAAGAAAGGGCAATGAACAAACGAACGTTTCAGGGAGAAAGGGGTATAAAGTGGTAAATGCATCCTTCCAGTTCCGCCAACCTGGAATCCCAGTGGCACACCCACAGCCAGTGAAAAAGCCAAGAGACCCAAAGGCCAGGAGAGCCAGGTGAGCTGCGTGTCTGGTTTTATACCAAACCTGGCTGCCTAACCCCACCCTCAGGCATCAGCATCCTCCCTGCCATGATGATGGGATTTGTAGTTCCCGGTCTGTGTCTCAGTGGCTTTGGTCTGGAGTGGGAGTGGGGTCCACAAAACCCTTGTTCCCTCAGGGTCTCCTTTCCCCCTAACAGAACCTCACATGAACTCGGGGCACTCGGGGTCAGAACTGAATGGGGAGCACACAATTGGTATCTGGAGACGTGCTTGTTGGTCTGGAAAACCCTTGGCCCCCAGGGTGCTGGGAGTTAAGGCCTGTGCCTCCTGCTGGTCATGGGGGTGGGGGCACTTCCTGCAGTTCCCCTTCTGGTTCCTCATCCAGCTGCAACTGAGCTGAGCACTCAGCATCCACGAGGTCGTGACATTACAGCCGGGTCATTGGCGTACTGAGACCAGCATCAGAAACAACAGACCATGTCACAAGAGACACGGTGGTGTGGGCCAAGGGAGGACACCTACCTGCTACACATCGCTGGGCGCTGTCAGGGGCACTTGGGATTCACTGAGGAGCAAAACACACCAGCTGTGCTCCGTGCACCTTGCTGTCTTGTAAGGGAAGAGAGTGAACAGTAACTTGTCAGGAAAACTGCAGTTGTCAGGATAGAACAACGGGCATGAGATCAGCCTGCATTCATTCATTCATCTAAAAACACTCTGTGGGCCTCATTGAGAGGCTAGAACAATGGACAAAACCAGTTCCTGGTGCCCACAGCTTTAAGTCAGTGGGAGGGGTATGAGGTGAGTCTGTGATGGGGCAGTACATGGAGAAGTCTTAACCCCACCCCCACGAACCCCCAGGACCTAAGGTGTTGATGTGTGTGCCTGTGCAAGTGGGTTAACTTCTGTGATTCTCCTAAAAGTAGCATAATAGACAGGCTTGAAGGTCAAAGTGTGTAGCACATTGTTTAGAGTAGTTTTAAGACTGGAATCTTACACCCTGCAGTGCAGTAGGGAAGCATCAGCTTATCTGATCATTAGTCCGGATCGGATCGCAATGAGGAGCGCCCTGCCTCACCTGTAAGACTGACATCTTCACAGTTTACAGAGTCATTTTACATACAATTTACCATCAGATCCATGCCACCCCAAGGAGGATAGGGGTAATTAAAAATAATCACCTCCCTTAATAATCGTGGGATCCTGGATTGGGTCCCAGGCCTCAAAAAAGGACGTTAGTGGGAAAACTGACCATTTAGTTATAGGACTATCCAGGGTTCACTTCTTAATTTTGGCAAATGTATCATGATATTGTAATCGACACCCATAAAAGGTGGATGAACAGTAAATAGGAACTCTCTGCATTCAATTTTTCCTTTAAATTTAAAATTTAAAAAATTTAAAATAGAAAGTAAAAAAAAAAAAAAAAAAGCGGCATTGACCCCTTATCTGTATCTTCATCCTGGCAGGTCATTTCCTGTCAAGAGCACGAAGCCACAGTGTCACAGCTCAGCACCTGGGGCTGAAGGTGGTGATGGACAGAAGCTTTTAAAAAATCAACAGAAAAAGAGATTTCCTGGAGAGCGCTGAAGGTGAATAAAGCCAAACCCACCCCTCACCTTGTGCCGAAATGAGGAAGACGATTTCTGGCCCTTAGTAGTTCATAATCTTTTTCTTGGTGTTGGAATTCATCCTGCGATTTCTTCACTGAGGATTTCCTTTCCCAGTAACCGCTGCTGTTTTAAGAATGTAAGTGCTTGGGGGCCTCCCTGGTGGCCTAGGGGCTGACTCTGACCACTTTCACTGCCTGACCCACAGGGCACAGCAGACCTCTCCTGACCCGCCCGCTGCTCCCCTCAGCAGTGCCCTCCATTGATCTGCCTGTTCTGCTCCCCACTCTGTCTGGTGGGTGAATCCTTTCACCCCCTCCCTGTACCTCTGACCTATACCCCAGTTTTTACATGCATAAATATATAAATCTTTATACAAATATATAATGCATGTAACAAAGATTAACTCGGCGAGGAAACCAGCAGAAAGCTAAATCTAGTTCAGGAAAATTCAGGAAGCTAAGTATCTTCCAGGAAAAACAGAAGGCTGAAATAAGATTGCAAACTTACAGATAAACACCACCGATTTCTGCCATTCCACATATTTACATTCCTAACCCAGAGCTTCCTCCCTTCCTTCCAGGCCTGTCTGTGACCATCTGCTCCTTGCCCCAGTCAGGCCTTACGTGGAGGAGGGGAAACTGTGAAGATACCTTACCTGCCCTCACCTTCCTCTCCTAGTCTAACCCCTTCCAACTTCCCCAACTCAGAGTCCAGAGAACTGCCAGCTTTTGTTGGGGCCCCCCAACAGTGAGATGATCAGTGCTATCGGTGTTGACTCAGCTGGCCCTCAGGGGAAATGGGGCAGGGAGTGGGAGCCTCCTCTGGCTGATACCATCACAGCAGATGGTGAAAGAATTTACTTTTATTGCTCATGGACTTAATTGCTGTTCTGAAGCCTGGTAGCTCAGCAATTTCTCCCAGGTCACCTGAGCTCCTTGCCAGGCTCTGTTTTTCACTGGATAAGACATAAGTGATGTTCCAAAAGACAAACGTGTGGAAGTGAACCCACAGCATCCTCAGGGCCTGGGCCTGAGAAGACAGCCAATAGTGGAACAGCATGAGTTTACTGTCCAAGATTCTAGAGCATGAAGAATGAACTGGAGGGCGGACCCATGAGAGAAGCTTCACGGAGAAGGAGTTTGCCCTATGTCTGAGCTCTAGATAATCTGAGTAATACGCCAGAATGAGGTGCTGTTGTGACATCACATGACCTCCTCACCCTGTGGTCACCCAGGCGCAGAGGCCAAGCTCCTCGCTGCACGGGGTCCACATCTCCAAACCCCGACCCGCTCATCTGCAGGTCCTCTCGCTCAGGCAGACTGCGGTGGCAAGGGGCAGACGGTTCTAGCCCCCCTCACAGGACTGGTCGCTTCCCCTTCGCCTCCAGCCTTCCGCTGCCCCTGCAGCTTCTCTGCAACTCCAGGTCCGCACAGGTGCAAGAGCAAGGACGTCCACAGGATTCTTTACCAGTTCCCACACTCGCACAGGTCCCTAAAGTGAACTGCTTATTTTGTTATCTTTCTTTTCTTTTTTTTAACGATTTACATATTTATTCATACAGAACTCTGGGATACAGACCAGAGGTGCAGGGGCGGTGAGATGATTCACCGGAGTCAGAGCAGGGAGCTGAACAGGCAGATGCACAAAGTACAGTGCCGAGGAGAGCAGCGGACGAGACAGGAGAGGTCTGCCGTGCCATGTGGGTCACCTCCCTGGCTGGCGATCAAACTCGTGCCAAAGCAGCTGAGGCTGGCTTCACAGTGCTGTGCTTTAACTTGTTGTGCCACCAGGGGAAGAGCCAGATGGGAGCTTTAGAAGCAATCTTCCAAGACTGAATCAGGAAGAGAGCAAAAACCTGAACAGCCGAGTCATAAGCAAAGAAATTGAAAGAGTAATCACCCACCGAAACAAGTTCAGGGCCAGATGGTTTCACTAGTGAGTTCTACAAGCCTGCACAGATGAGTAACTTTCCTTCTCAAGCTCTTCCAAAGCTGAGGAAGGAGAGCTTCCAGATACATTTTATGAAGCCGACATTACTCTAATAGCAAAAAAGCAGACACTACCACCACAAATAAAGAAAACTACAGATCAATATCCCCAGTGACCACAGAGCAGAATTCCTCAAAAAGTTTTAGCAATCACTTTCAACAATACAATGAGCAGAACGTACATCATGGCCAAGAGGGATTTATTCTGGGGACGCAAGGATGTTCACCACCCACTAATCAATCAATGGAATTTATCACATCAACAAAAGGAAAGATAAAAATCACATGGTCACATGAATAGATGCAGAGAAGCATTTGGCAAGATCCAACATTCATGGGTGACAAAAACTCTCAAAAAGCAGTGACTGAAGGGATATACCCCACATCAAGGTCAGATATGGCAAGCCAATTGCTAGTATCACACTGCAGTAAGAGTTCACCCACATGGTGTGGCAGACCTCTCCTGTCTCACCTGCTGCTCCCCTCAGCAGTGGATTTCACTCTATCTGCCTGTTCTGCTTCCTACTCTGTCTCTGGTGAATCCTCTCACCCTCCCCACTGCCCCCAGCTGCCCACACCACTGGCCTGTACCCCAGTTCTTGTATGCATAAATAAATAAATCTTTTTTTAAAAAAGTCTAAATTGGGCCCTCCCTGGTGGCACAGCGGGTTAAAGCACAGCACTGAGAAGCTAAAGCCACTTCCGCATGAGTTTGATTCCTGCCTGCCCCGGAGGTGACCACAGTGCGTG